TCAGTAACTACCACATGGTACTCAGTAACTACCACATGGTACTCAGTAAATACCACATGGTATGCAGTAATAATGCAGTAATTATTGTATGTTTCACCCACTTTCATTTTGTATGGACCTATGCAGACCTTAAGACAATGTTCCTGACATTACAATCGTTCTTTTGGCTGATATCGAAGACTTCTCCTGCCATAGTCATCTGCATCCACTTCTGTTAGTCAGGAGAATACCTACCTACCTGTTTACATCATAAGAAACTATATACAGATAAGTCTCTCTCTTAAGTTTGATACACAAGGTACGCTTTTATTTTATAATTTTTTGAGACAACAGATTTAATAACCTGGTAAAATTATCACTATTTATCCCAAATATTGTAGTCAAAAATTATTTTTTATTTAACGTTATAAGTTATAATTTGAGTTCGTACAGTACACTCTTACTTAGCTATGATATTTTATATGAAAAATTATTAACACGTATTCATTTTAAAGGTTTTTGTATACGACATGTTTCGAAACATCATCGTATTGAGACATACATAAAAGTTCACCTGTTTTATTAAGTAGCTTACTTAGTTCAAAGAATACAGTTACTAAATTTCAAATCTATTTGAAATAACTTGCAGTTTATTGGGATCACTGTGCCCTAATTGATGATACTTGTGTTTGTTTTCAATAAATGTTTAATGTAGGATAGTTATTTCTGACTTTTATTCCTGATAAACATAGTAGACCCTTAATGCTGTTGATTACTTTTATTTTAGCTATGTTGTGATATCATATTTTTCTTTTTTGGTTTCTTACTTTTACCACTCTCATAAACAAAGTAAGTGGCGCCCTTTTCACTGTCTTTTGACCATACCTATTTGAGTTCTTAACATCAATATTAAAATCTTTGCAGCCTATATATTATCATTTTTTTATTTTAATATTTAACAACATTAGAAAGTCACTGTGAGTCAGAAGCCTTACCTACGAACCCAGCTTTCCTCTAACCCTGAGCAACGGATTCTTTTTTCATTCTATTCGGGTAACGACAGAAAAGTCGTCACAACCCTTCGGTAATAACATATGTTTTAAACGTGTATATACATATATACTGTATGATCGAAAAAAACGGCGCCTTGTTTGTTTGGAAATGACAATTTCACAAATGAATATTAAAAATTACATTATTCATTGAATCCGTAAGCAAGTGTGAAGGGAATTGGCTAGATTCATTATTATACCGTATAATCGAAAAAAAAAGACGTCCAGTTGGCTTGTAAATCACGATCGATGACATTCCCTATATAATTCTCCATATAAAATGACATAAAAACTATACAAAACGACATCGAAAAAAGACGGCGTCAGCGATGGCTATGAAATGAAGATCGCTGTCATTTCATATGTAAAATTATATGAGAAATGTCGTCGATCGTCATTTACAAGCCAACTGGACGTCGTTTTTTTTCGACCATACGGTATAATAATGAATCTAGCCATTCCCCTTCACACTTGCGTACGGATTCAATGAATAATGTAATTTTTAATGTTTGGTACCTTCAATCATAAAAATATTCTATTTTTAAGAATATCCGAATTTATCCACAAAAAAATAAAAAATTCTAGAAGCTTTGTGTTATTTTATTTGTAAATATTATTGTAACTTATTTATTTTTAAATTTTTATTAATTACTCACTGAAACTATTATTATACACTTAAATTAGCAAATTTTTTGAAAGAATATTTAAAAAAATATATGTATGTAGTAACAAGTAGCCCACCACAAGTTTGTCCACCCCCAGCAAATCTTGGCAGGTAAATTTAAGTTTTATATTACAACTATACATATAGATTTTTTATCACTAGAATTTTTCATTTTTTTATAGTTTACAAGTTACAAGTTACGTCGTTTGGATAAGCGCAGCCCGTACACACACCGCCCGGTCAGGACAACCTCGGGATTTCGGTGAGATCGCGTCCAGCGTCACTGATGCAGGGTGCCGTCCGGACGACACACCTAGAAAAATACGGGAGCTACAAAACCAGCCTCGGGATTTGGGCGAGGTCTTGTTTTAGCTCCGTGAACATTCGCGACCAGTGCGTTTACTGAACTACCTTAACCGTTAGCTGTCTCACTCTCTCCCTTTTAACAAAAGAAATCGTTCCTCGCGTCCACGTGATCCGATCAAATACCCCCAGCCTCCGCAGAGGTGCACCGTTTGATCTACCTGATCGAATATAAGTTTTGCTATGTCTTTGCGTCCGCGCGATCCGGTCAAATAGCCCACAGCCTCCGTAGAGGTGCACCATTTGGCCCACCTGAGCGAATATAAATATCTCTGTCTCTCTTATCCCTGTAACGCGTTAAGGCAGTAAAGTAAACGTTATTAACAATAAAAAGAATACGACATACTCTCGATCTCTTTGGCGGTGGGTGCGACAGGCGGCTGGCAGCAGGACACTTGGCAGGGCACTCCGGATTCGAACCTCACTGTTTCGCGTGCGACCACGAACTGTCTAACTGGAGCTGCTGCAGCCACTTGTGTCTAGCCCTAGCAGGCAACTGTTAAGCCCGACCAATCACGTTAGAGTTTTTGACAAACACAAATGAATTAACACACTCCAAATAACCACGCTAACCAACCTGATTGGTCAAGCTTAATAGTTGACGGCTAGGACTAGACACTTCTGCTGCAGCCAAGGAACTCGACTGACGCTCCCCTCCACACAACCTGCACTAGCAGAGTAGGGCGAGCGGCGCAAACGTTTCGGTTTCTCGCACCAAACCAAAGCGACCAAAACCGATCAAAACTCTCTTACAAAATGGCTATTAAATATTTAACTTATTTAATTCAACAATAGAAACACTAATGAAGTTCATTACAATAATGAGTTAACAATAAAATACATTAACTGTCATTATTAAAAGAGAATGAAGTCTCTATTATTCTAGTATAATATTAACACAATATACAGGGTGTCCTAGAAATTTTACGAACTTCATTACACTCCCCCTACTTCGGTTAAAAATATATGAACATATATTTTTGTCAGCTATGCTGACTGAAACTTCCTTGGTAAAACATACTTTATTTGCCAAAACTTAATCTAACACCCAATATATCCCTTTGATCATACTTAAATTTTTAAAATGAAACAACGACAAAATCAAATGTTTATTGGTCAAAACTTAATCTAAAACCTTAGTATATTTTGTGATTTAATATCCCTTTGATTATGCTTAAATCTCTAAAAGAAAACAACCACAGACTCAAATGTTTATTTGTCAAGTCTTAATCTTAACCTTTGTATCTTGATCATGATTAAATTACTAAAATAAAACAACCGCAAAATCAAATGTTTATTTTCAAAATGCAAAACTTAACTAAAATACGCAATGTCTTCGGTCTTCTTCAACGTGAAGATCTTCATTCGGCGGTGTGTAGAGCTTCGACGTGTCGAGCTTGATCCAACGGTGTTGCGGCTTCGGTGAGTCCCTCGTTGTCAAGCGGTGTTGAGAGCTTCGGTGAGTCCCTCGTGGTCCAACGGTGTTGAAGGCTTCGGTGAGTCCCTCGTTGTCCAGCGGAGTTGAGAGCTTCGGTGAGTCCCTCTTGGCCCCACGGCGTTGAACGGTACTGCAAATGGCTCAGTCATGGACACCCGTACACCTATAATACAAATGAATTAGTTCAACTCTTCAGGCACGCAGGACGATTGGTCGCAATATATTTTCATATTTCTTAAAAAAACACAACCGGATGAGAGATACTACAAAATTCCCTTAAACAAAAAAAAACTCCTCTACCCTCTTTCTGTTTCCCTTTTTAATTTTAATTTTTTTTTTTAAACTAACCAGGTCCAAACCCCGTAGACATAAGATAGAGACTTAAAATCGCGCAATATTTTTTTTTATTTTCTTACCCTTAATAATACAAAACAAAAATTATATTTCCCTTTTAGTTTGTTCTTTTTTTATTTTAACTCATAAAAAAAATTGGCCCCCCTTTTTTTTACTTGCTACCTTGCAGTTTTCCCCCCTATTTTCTGTGGCACAATGGGCATTCCCCGGCTTTCTTGCGGTCAGCGACCCTACGTCTCCTTCACTATCTCCAGCTATCACTCCGGAGAGCCGGTTGGGCTCGGAAGCGGCGGCAGGGACAATCTCTTGATAGGACGCCCCGAGTTCCACATCCTGAGCAAAAGATTATTTCCGGTCTTTGGCACTGTCGGCGATTATCTCCTAGAGCACCACATCTCCAACACACGGTCTCCCGTTCCACGGGAATGGGGTCATCCTCGGGACTTGGATAGAATGCCTGAGAATGTTCTCTGGCCGTCGCTTTCCCTTCAAAGTATACCGCCAGGCATGGATCGTCTCAGAGAGGTACCGTTGCCCGCTGCTCGGACGTTGCTCGTTGTGGTTGTTGAAAAGCCGGGTGGGGAGGTTGTCAGCGCTCCTCGCAGTGGAACTAGATAACGTGGGAAGTGGATACCGTCAGCCTCGAACGGACAAAGTCGTTGGGCGAGATGGATATCCTACTAATCTCACTGACGCCTACATTGGACGTGTCGGGTGATCTCCGATGCGGGATGCGTTCCGGTAATTGTGTTACTGGTGTAGACAAGTTATAGTCCTAGAGCGCCAGGTCGATATCATCAGATTATCTTCCAGAGCGGAGACATAAGTGTCTGGGGACGACATTTGGCGGCGGGGAAAAGTTAATCCTAAAAGAAAACAACATTACACAGTTTTCCTGACAAGAGTATTATAAATTACGAGTAGAGTAGGGAAACGGGAAAGACTACTACAAGCAAAAAAAAATTAAAAAAAAATGCGTGTTACTTCTCCGGACCTAATATACCCAGCGAAAATAAAATAGAATAGAAAATAAAACATGACTTCTAGAACCATAAAAAAAAGCAAAATTAGATACAGAGCTCCTTTCAGACGGGACTTTTAACGGTTCCTTAGGATCCCCAGGCTACCCGTTATAATAATTTTCCTACTTTTACTCATTTTTCGGAATGGTCAGCCAGATCCGGCGTCCCGTACTGGTTCGTACCCGAATCCGTATTTTCACATTTCCTGGGACGCCGGGTGGTCTCAGGGAACGCACTTCCTCCAAAAGTGTTGCGTCCCAGGACCCGGTTGTAGCGGCGATTTTATCCGTTATTTCCGGCCTAGTTACAGACAGCGTCTGCGATGTCGGCGGCGGCGGGGGGGTAGCGGGGAGGTAGGGGCCAGGCGGACGGACTTGTATATCGGAAAGTATGATTACTTTTGCCCCTGACGTCGAAGGGTTGTCGGACCTGGTGGGCGCTTTGTTGAACGCCTCCGCCAAGCTCCGGATTTTCTCTCTTCGAGCCTCCTGTTTCTCCTTACTCTTCCTGGCCTCTTCCTTCATTAGGAACAACGGGCCTGTGGGTCGGGCTCCCTTGGGGAGTTTTTCGGATGACTTACGGGGCATATCTGGAATTTATATAGAGACATTTACTTATGGTTACGCGGGCCCTTTTCTTTATTTAGTTAGCGGGTTTTAAATCTTTTATGTGGACGCGCCGTATCTCCTGGTTATTTTTATTGGACAAATCATAGACTACCGGAGAGATCTTACGCGTAACGATATACGGCCCGGAGTATTTCGGTGCTAATTTAGCTGCGAAATATTTCACGGCGGAAGATAGAGGGTGAACATCTTTCACGGCGGAAGATAGAAAAGGGAATGCTTTTCATCACTTGATCGCCGATATTACATTGCCATTCTCTTCGTCTTACATTATAATAATGGCTCTGTGACGCGAAGGCGCGAGACAGGTTTAAACGGACCAATTCGAAGGTTTCTTTTAAACGGTTTAAGCGGTTTTCGGTACTTGTTATGTCTGCGTTCGTCGGCTCGGGATTTTCGGACGGAACAGACGGCTGTTCTTCGCGCAGAAGAGTTTTCGGCGACTCGAGTTCCCTTCCAAAATTCAGGAAAGCCGAAGAGAATCCAGTCCAGTCGTTACGGGACGTATTGAAGGCAAACGTCATTTCAGAGAGATGGGCATCCCATTTCTTATGGTTGTCCTCGCAAAACTGCGCAATCATGGTTTTGGTGGTCTTATTCGCTCTTTCGACGGGGTTCGCTTGAGGTGTGTAGGGTGGTGTAAGTCGATGGTTAACTCCAAAATCCTTCAACAGTTGCCGAAATGGTCTACCGGTGTACTGAGTGCCGTTGTCAGTTATGACCGTGGCAGGTCTTCCAAAACGCATCAGAATTTCGTCATATAAGGCCTGACTGACAGCCTTGGCAGTCGAAGTTCTAATGGCCTTACATACTATCCACTTGGTAAACCTATCCTGGAACACAAGGACGTAGCAGTTCCCTTTCGTAGCAGTTCCCCTTCGTCGTCTGCTGTTGAGAAGCTTTATACTGTTGGCAAGACTGACATTTCCGGACGTAATGGGCAATGTCTCTAAACATACCTGGCCAGTAATAACGGGCAGCAATCCCTGTAGTAGTCTTGGCTATACCTAAGTGTCCAGCGGTGGGTTGATCGTGATTTTCTTGGAGGACTAGGAGCCGTGCAGGTTTTGGAACACATAGTTTCCATGGGTCTTGCATCTCGGCTTCCTTGGCATTAGTCATGTCCAAAAAATGACGAAACAGCTTTCCATCCCGAATGCAGAAATCAGGAAATAATTCCGGATGTCCCTGTACTTCGGCTCGTTTCTTTTCGTGCCAACGACAAATGTCAGTTTCAGATATTGTCAGTAACAACTCCTCAGTCGGCGGTGGTTCGGTCGGGCTTCGAGATAAAGCATCTGCTATCTTGTTCAGTACCCCTTTTCTATAACGGATTTCGAAATCATACTGTTGTAGGTAAATACTCCAGCGGGCTAATCTGCCGCTAGGATTCTTCAGAGAGTGTAGCCATCGAAGTGATTGATGATCCGTAATGACTACAAATTTATAGCCTTCCAAATAGGGTCTCATCTTTTCAATTCCCCATATTATGGCTAGACATTCTTTCTCGGTGACAGTATATTTCTTCTCGGCGGAGGTCAGACTGCGGCTGGTATAAGCAATAACATGATCGCCATCATGTAAATGTTGAATAAGAGCTGCTCCCAAACCATTATCGCTTGCATCGGTCTGCAGGACAAAAGGCTTCTGGAAATCTGGACATGTCAGAACTGGCGCTCTAGTCAAGCATTCTTTGAGTATATCAAAGGCTTCACGTTGCGCTTCTTGCCACTGCCACTTATTGTTCTTTCTCAGCAGATCGTTAAGGGGCTTAGCAATCTGTGAAAATCCTGAAACAAATCTGCGGTAACAAGAAGCTATACCTAAAAATCGACGGAGACTTCGAACATTGGTTGGTGTGGCCAACTCTAAAATAGACGCTACCTTGTCTGGATCTGTTCTTATTCCTTCAGGTGTCACCCAGTGTCCCAAATATTTGAGAGATTTTCGTCCGAACTGGCACTTCTCAGGATTAAGCTTCAGGTTTGCGTTTTTCAAACGTCGGAAAACTTCTTCTAGGCGCCTCAGTTGTTGTTCAAATGTCTCACCTAGTACAATGATGTCATCCAAGTAGGCGAAACAATAAGGAACTAGTTCAGGTCCTCTGATTCTATCCATCAATCTGTGGAAGGTGGCAGGCGCTGAGTGTAACCCAAACGGCATCACTTTAAACTGGAACAACCCTCTAGTGGGTATGGTGAATGCAGTTATGGGCCTAATCTCTCGAGTTAGCGGTCGGTACCTGCCAATATCCTTGTTTGAGGTCAATGCTGGATATGTACTTGGCTTTGCGAAGTTTGTCCAAAATCGCGTTTATAAACGGCAGTGGGTAAGCGTCCTTTCGAGTCACGGCGTTAACCTTTTGGAAATCCACACAGAAACGGTAGCTACCGTCTTTCTTCTTGACCATGACGATAGGTGAGCTCCACGGACTATCAGATGGCTCAATAATTCCATCTTCAAGCATTTTATCTACTTCGCTATCAACGATGGCCTGCATCTTCGGATTTTGTGGTCGGTATCTCTGTTTAATCGGGTCCTTGTTGATCAGGTGAATTTCATGTTTTACCAGTGGTGTTGTACTACGAATATTCTCAAAACCAGGTAAGTGCTGTTCCAGGAAAGTCTGGAGTTTATTCTGCTCGTCCTGCGTCAACTTTGGCGTCTCCAGGCTCGCTGAAATGGGAGACAGTGTCGTGTTGACCTCTTCAGTCACTCTTCGCCCATTTAAGCTGACTTGACGGGTCTGTAAATCCAAATTAAATCGGTGTCGTTGAAGAATATCCATTCCAATCACCACTTTGGGTACAAGACTATCCAGAATATGGAAAACTTCGTTCAAGGACTGGTTTCCTATCTGAAACTTGATTCTAAAGGCTTCTGAAATGGCTTCATTAGTACCATTAGCAAGCGTCGCTCCTCTTAGAGTAGGCTTGACTGATATGGCTTTAGAATTTCGGCACGCCTGTGCCAGTTTGGTTCCCATAAAAGAATATGCCGCCCCCGTATCCAGAAGGGATAAGTATTCGATATTTCTGTGTCGTATCTTGATCGTAGGACGGTTGTCGGCTCGCATAACAGGCTGGATATCGTTGATAAGGGTGGTCGGGAGGCGCTGCACTGGCTCGTGTGTGCAGCGCCGCTCTAGTTTTCCGGACGACCACACGGACAGTTCCTGGACAGTACACCTTTCGTCTTACATCTCGAGCAAAATATCTGTGCTTTCTGTGTACAGCTATTGCGATAGTGCCCTGTCTGTCCGCATCTCAAACAGATTGCTTCTGAAGTCTGTTTTGTGGCCTGTGAATATCCAGGATTCCGGGTAGGAGTGGGCCTGTGATTTGGTCCATTTTGCTGCGGTGATGGGTTCTGATTAACCCTCGGATGGCTCTCAGTGCCTGTATACTCATTGTCTGGCATGACTCGCCAAGGACGGGTTTCAACAGGGCCAGCTTCGAGTATTGTACAGCTCGAATTCCTTCGTTATTTTTGAGAACGACGAGATGTCCTGAAAGTCTCCTCTCCGGACATATTGACGAAATTCAGGTAGCAAATTTCTGTACAGCCACTGTAGTTCTTGATTCGGAGAGATGTTGCCATATCTGCGGATCAACGTTTGAAGAGCAGTGATATACGCCGTGACAGACTCGTTATGTCTTTGCACTCGACGACTTATCTTCGCCTCTAGGCCCACCTCATAATTTACTGGATAATAAAAAATTTTAATTTCTTTAGTAAATTCTTCCCAGGTCCTGTAATTTACTTTGTTATTGCCGTACCAGAGCGCAGCTTCTCCTTGCAAAACTTCTGGCAAATGTGGCAATAACCGATCCGGATGCATATTCTGTGCAATACAAATCTCTTCCAGTCTTTCTAAGAACGTTACAGGGTCCGAGCGACCATTAAATGTCACTCCCCATTTGTAAACTTGTATTGGACTAGTATTAAATCTATTTGACATACCTGGATTTATCGGCAGAGGGGCAGGCTGCGAAGTAGAAGTATAGACCACCGGAGAAGACACTACACGTCCAGCAATGTATCCACTCGAGGTTGATGTCACTGTAGTTGTCACTGTTGTAGTGGTCAGTGTGACTGTAGAGCTCACTGTCGGTACAACAGCACTATTTCCAGGAAATCCAAAAGGCTGAGTGACAGGCTGAGGACTCGCCTGTCCTTCTCTAATAAATCTCACTATTCTTCTTCGCATTTCCTCAACAGTCCCGGTACTATCCAATCCAAAACGCAACAATTGTGCAGCTAATTCAGACTTCTTCAGGGAATAAATCCACGCTGTCCTGAAATCAGATTCAGCACTCGTGCCAGACGCCGCCAGGTTCAAACCTGTATGCGACAGCGACGGTACGTCGTCGTTACCTTCGACGGAAGCACCGATCGACAAAAAATCTTCCTCAGTTTCCATATCGCTCTAGATTTCACTAGTCTTTAACTCAGAGGTACTGAGACACAGAGGTCTAGAGGTACTTATGCTCGACGGTTGTTACTTTCTTTTCACCTCCTCTCACACTGTTTCAATAGCTTTTTCGCTTTTACTAGCTTTACCCGGAAGTCCCTATGCTCGGGCGTCATTTTTGTGACGCTCCTCCGTTTTTGAGAGAGCTCACGGACGCCGAGTTGCCTTGGTTTGGTTCCTCGGGCGCCACCCCCAATGTTTAAAGTGTTTGAGAGACCACTAGTGCCAGTACGGGTAGCTTTTATACAGTGGAGATACCAGGGAGTGATGGGATGAAAAGAAAATAAAACACACAATTAACTATAACGTAATACTAGGTTTTTATTTTTAAATTAATTATGTACAAAAGTAATCAAAGAAAGTTCGCGTTCTCTAATTGTAACAATAATAAAAATAAAATAAATGTTCAGTACCTCGTAGAGCAACATTTACATTAACAACCGTGTACCTCTAGTTTTGATCGATTAATCCCGATACGTAACTCTCTGACTGATTCTATCCCGTGAATTCAAAACGCGTTCCCGAAATGACGTTCTATTAAATAAAACGACGCGAGTTCCTGATCGGCGTCGAACTTAGCGGTGTCCTAATGAACACAGACACGTAGGTACCGGAGCAACACACTCTACCACGAAGCGACTCTCTAAACGGCGGCGACGTCGCTACAGCCGTCCCGATGGTCACAGCTAAATATTTCTCGGAACGGCGTCCGTTCTGACAGCGAAACACGGACCTCGGATCGGCGTCGAAGTTAAAAGCGTCCCTTGATACACAAACGCGAGTCCTGGATCGATCGCGAAATTAACAGCGTCCCGTGGGATACACAAACGCGAGCCCTGGATCGATCGCGAAGTTAATAGCGTCCTGTGGGACACAAACGCGAGCCCTGGATCGATCGCGAAATTAACAGCGTCCCGTGGGATACACAAACGCGAGCCCTGGATCGACGTAGACGTTAGCGACGTCTGGGCGAGTTGTACGTTGTTTGGATAAGCGCAGCCAGCACACACACCGCCCAGTCAGGACAACCTCGGGATTTTGGCGAGATCCCGTCCAGCGTCACTGATGCAGGGTGCCGTCCGGACCACACACCTAGAAAAATACGGGAGCTACAAAAACAGCCTCGGGATTTGGGCGAGGTCTTATTTTAGCTCCGTGAACATTCGCGACCAGTGCGTTTACTGAACTACCTTAACCGTTAGCTGTCTCACTCTCTCCCTTTTAACAAAAGAAATCGTTCCTCGCGTCCACGTGATCCGATCAAATACCCCC